CACCCTGTTAAAACTCCCATGGAACTGAACCTCAAGCTGCGCCGTGATTCTAGGGAGAAACTGCAGGATGGAACGACCTATCGTAGTATCGTTGGAAGCTTTATCTACATGGAACGTCTCCCCAGGTTATACAAAAGGCCATGCAGACCAAGTTTGTCGTCTACATCGGTCTCTCTATGGTCTTAAACAGGCACCACGGGCCTGGGTTGAGAAGTTCCAATCTACTTTGATTAGTCTTGGCTGTCAGCAGAGTTTGAATGATCTGTCTCTGTTTACTAAGGTGACTTCCGCTGGTATTGTGGTACTTCTCCTTTATGTAGATGACATGATCACTACAGACACCGATTCTCTTGGCATCCAGCAACTCAAGGACGACCTCAAATCAGTCTTCAGCATCAAGGATCTCGGGGAACTATCTTACTTCCTTGGCCTTGAGGTGTTGCGTACTCACAAGGGGATTTTGCTTTGCCAACGGAAATATATTGTCGATCTTCTTAGTGAACACCATTTTGATGACTGCCACCCTGTTAAAACTCCCATGGAACTGAACCTCAAGTTGTGTCGTGATTCTAGGGAGAAACTGCAGGATGGAACGACCTATCGTAGTATCGTTGGAAGCTTGATCTACCTCTCTGCTACTCGACCAGACATATCTTATGCAGTTAAGGTGGTGAGCCAATTTATGCAGGATCCACGGGTTGATCATATGGCTGTAGTTCATCGGATCTTGCGTTATTTACAGGGCACTCAAGACGTTGGTATTTTGTTCCCTTCCACTGGTTCAGCTACATTACGAGCTTTTTCAGATTCTGATTTTGCAGGGTGTGCCGATACTCGCCGCTCCACCACAGGCTGGTGCATTCAATTCGGGGAGGCTTTCATTTCCTGGCATTGCAAGAAGCAGGATAAAGTATCTAAATCTCTACTGAAGCTGAATATCGTGCGATGTCTGACGTTTGTTCCGAGTTGGTTTGGCTACGCAGGTTACTTACTGACTTGAGAGTTGTCTGCTCTCCTCTGATGGATCTCCACGTTGATAATAACAGTGCCATTCGCATTGCTGTGAATCCGGTTATGCATGACAGGACTAAACACATCAAAATACATGTGCACTATGCCCGCGATCTAGTTCAAGATGGTACTGTTCATCTACATTATATCAATTCTGAAGACCAGGTGGTTGATCTCTTTACCAAGGCATTTTCTACTAGTCGACACTGGTATCTGGGAAGCAAATTGATGCTAATAGCCCGACATCAATTTGGGGGAGGCTGTTAGACAGTGTTCTCTTTTCAGTCTTGTACGTATGTAGTGTGTTGGGCCAATTGTGCCATTTACGTTCAGCCCAATTTTCATGTCTTGGAATATGGGCCCATGCATCGTAGGGCACGTAGTAGTGAACCCTAATTCTAGCTGAGTAGTAGTATAGAAGGGAGGAGAGGCGGTTGTATTCTGTAATACACTTTCTTCCATGATCACAAGTAACATCAGTGGCCGAGGAGTGCTTGAGCTCCTCTGTGGATTAGTCCTGTGAAACTGGGGATACCACGTAAATCCGTTTGTCCCGTTTACTATTTTTCGTATCCGTTTCTAGATCGTCAATATATCTACCAGACTACCATTCACTTGATCCAGTCAAGATGGAAGCCTTGATAATATGAGATGGTCTGTTTATGAAGGTGTTCATACTTCATATACAGCTTAATCAATCTCGGTGGTCGAACAACAGCATGAGCTGCTAAGTTGGTAAACATTTTGCATCGTTTGTACTGGATTTGAGATTGGGGTTTAGCAGATAATTAGTTCTTCATACGCAACCTGTCGTCATCAAGGTTGAAACTATTTTCCAGATAACTATCCTCATATAGGAGATTCATCTTTCACATGTATGCCCAAAAAAAGTCAACTTTGCCATAGATACCTTGCCCACTCACTAGTTGGGGTCGTTTGATTTTGGTGATAGTTATATCAATGCATTATCATCAATGCATGCATAATAATATACATGTATATTAGCAAACTGGTGTATTGTAGTTTACATCGTTTGATTTCTTTGATAGTTATTGTAGTATTTAAATAAGTTATATTACTTTTTGAGTGAAATGTCACATTTACCCTCTGTTTTTTATTAATATAAAAAAGAAACACACATAAAAAAAGGTAGGGACATAGTTGGAAGAAGGAAAAACCCAACAATCTCACCAAAAACTTGAGATTTGACTATCACTCATTTTGAGTGATAGTTTGTGTCATATCAAACAAATAATTAATGCATGTACTGTTTGCGCAAAAAATTCAGAAAAAATGAATTGTGTACAATACATGCATTGTAACATGCATTGTGGACAAGGCAATGTATGATTCTATAAAAGTTTGGGACTTTGCTATGGTGATTTGCATGTCACTGTGACTTGGACAAAACAGTCTACATGTTCAATGATGAGGTCGACCTATTTGGACAAAACGGTCGACCACTTCACTGATATGACCTATTTGAACAAGTGGTCGACTTCATTGTTGGAACGGTCGACCAAATTTACTATTTTCCATTTTGCTATGTTCAACAAATGGTCAACCTCTTCCACTAAAAGACACTATACAAGAAATGGTCTACGACTTCCATCAAGTGGTCTACCCTTTCCCCAAGCGATCAACCTCATCCAACAAGCAGTTGTAAGTTGAAGGTAAGTGGGTCTCGGGTCAACCCATTGCCAGAAACGGTAGACCGGCTACCTCGAGTGGTATACCACCTGGTGGAAGTGGTCGACCACTTAAGATAATTGTGTCATCAGGACAACCATTTTCGAAGCGGTAGATCGGTTGACTCAAGTGGTAGACCACTGGGTTGATGAGGTCGACCCTTTGAAGGTAAGTGTATCATCATATCGACCCATTTCCAGAAGTGGTAGATCGGATAACTCAAGTGGTAGACCACTTGGTAGAAGAGGTCGACCATTTTCTTGGAAAGTGGTCGACCACTTGGTGGAAGATGTCGACCGCTTTAAGATAAGTGTGTCATCAGGTCGACCCATTTCCGGAAGTGGTAGACCACTTGATGAAAGAGATCGACAATTTTCTTAGAAAGTGGTCGACCACTTGATGGAAGAGGTCGGCCGTTTTCTCCAAATTACGGTGACTTTCAAGTCACCATAGGCATACCCAAAAGTTTGTGGCCCTCATTTTCTTCTTAACTAATAATATAGGTTAGACGTCCATTTTACACATTGAGATGATAAAAAAATAATCTTACGTTTTTAATGATCAAGTTTATTTACCCTCACTAATCATTTAATATTTCTCTTATCATTTTAATTTTATAGTCCTTCAGAAATGAGATTACACAAAATCAAATTTTTATAAAGAGCAGAAACACGAAGAGAGTGAGAATCAGAGAGCTCCGATTTCGCACAAGCTGAGAATAACAAAATTGCTTGTTTTATTCTGAAAGCGACCAGCTAATAATTTGTTGTCACCAACGTCGCGTGGCAGCTCTTCCTAGACCGGATTTCCAAATCTAGGAAAAGTGGTGTGGTTAGCGTTTGGGCCTTGGGAGTTGGGGGTATGTCGATCCTGCCATATGGTACCGAGGGAAATGCAAAACATGAGACCAACAAGCTTCTGGGTCGACAACCGGCTCAACGCCAATGTAATGAATTACATGGTGACAAAACAATTGAGGCAACGACTAAAAAATTGTTTGCTTGCATATATATTCACCAAGAAATCATAGCCATCAGCCCAAGGACTTGTTCTATTTTTTTTCGTTGAATACAAGTGATATTTAGATAATAGTTTGACAAAAGAAGGCATTATTACATGTAATTTTCCCTTTTTGCTAATATATTAGAGGTATTTTAGTTATGTATTGACAAATTATTAATCGGGTCGGTACAAGTTGGTACTGCCCTGCATTATGTTTATTGGAACAACATTTGTTTCTTCCCGCTGACAAAATAATAAGGCAAATGTTTCAGCTAAAGATTGCATCCCTACTCTTAGGTTGCGGGGATAATGTGTTCTCAATTAAATCAAGACTTTATCTATTAAAGTATGATCAATAATTAAGTTATTTATTGTATGACAATATACTCATCTCTAATTAAGTATGCATAGTGTATAATATTAAATTTATGATCAGTTTACTGCCTTATACGACTAAAACTCATTTTCAGTCGGTAATGATAGATGAGATTTCAAACTACCAAATACTGTTCAATTCATCACTAATATAAAGCTAACTCAAATCAACTTTATCCAAACTTAAGGTTGAACGGACTAATAAATTCGATTGATGAATTTCTAAAAAATTACAATTCGATACCTTCAACAAAATATGATTGACAGGCAGGTCGATTTCTACGGTTACTGTGGTCCATCTAACCACTGTGATTGATGGTTAATCACTAACCCCACACACACACAAAAAAAATGTGGCTAGCCAAATCGCATGTGGCTCGATGCGGTTTGTGGTTAACAATTCAAACTTTCATGCACTTTGTCTGCAGTATTGTAGTACGACTCTTTCAAGAGCGAAACTTGTAATAATTTTCAAAATGATTCATAATTTACCGATGTTCCCATTAATTACCGGTCGCCATTAATTAATTACTAATTAGTACTGTTCTCCTTTCAACAAAAAATAATGAACCGGTAGACGTAGCACTATATGCTAGTATATAATTGTGCGATCACTGGAAATTATGGGCTATCAAGACAGATTACTGCAATTATCGATGTTCCCCTAAACCGCAGCTTGGGCTTATCTAATAATTATAGTTTGGTGGCAGTTCATATGGCGGCCCACTTCTGGTTTTAAGTCCTGTAAATATTTATGTTGATGGCCTTATCTAACCACATGACATGATGACATTATTAGCAAGAGTTTCGTGTATATTTTGCATTTATACTTTATCAATTATTATGTAAGTTCAACTTATACATCCAAACACTAATACTTTAAAGTATATATAGTAAAAGGATTCCAAATTCCACATGCTCTATCTTCAAACTCGAGTATAAGGTTCGGACCTCCAAAGCTTTCAAGTTAAACACAAATCTAAATCACTATACGAGTGAAGGATTCCAATCCAACCTCCAAGCTAAGGCGCATAAGTGCTAATAGTTTTAATTAGTGCAGAATGGAGTCTGTCGACTACCATCTTCCCTATTCAAGCCCCTCGTGATTGTGTTTTGTGCATATATTGATCTCTCTTATATTTTCGACTTTCCCTAACCTATTCCACCGCAGTTAAAAATATGAATGGTGATAGAATTTAGCGAAATTCGCCTCAAACTCATCCCATTGTCATTCTTATGCCTTCTATTTGTTTGTTGTTGCTACCGAAGTACTTACGTATGAGTCTATGGGTTCTTGGTTGATTCTGCAGAAGGAAAAGTGCAAAGGGCCATATTTGGGCAGTCTAGTTGGGCTAGAATGGCCGGGGTTGGGCTCGAGTTACGTAGTGAAAAGGATTCTGAACTGTTTGGGCTGAACTTAAGCCTCAACTTGGGTTTAAATCGATTACCGACTTGGGGAAACAACCAGTAACACTAACACCCCTTTTTCATATTCCAAATTCATCTTAATGAAGACTTATTGGAACGACCATTATTAGTAAAATAAAATAAAAATTGGTTTTCTGGATTGATAGGTTAAGAATTTAGAAAACTTACACGATTGCTTGTCTTAGCAACAAAAAGTTCTTAACTTAAAAAAAATATGATATAGTTCAAACTCCGAAAAATAAGTTTAAAAGATATACAAGCCCTCCAAATGCATTTGGATGAACTAATGACTTGTTGTTTGTGATATTGGCTACCTATGAATATCAAATTTGTACGACCGCTTGCAACAATTAGACATTTTATATTCCTATTCGCGTCACAAAACTCATTTGGCAAGTACGTGCCTCAATTTACATAAATTTTAAAAATATTTTTTAAATCAGCATTACTATTTATATAATAGTTTTCCAAAAAAACAATATTTTGGAATTTGGATAGCACGAAAAGAAGTTCCAAAAAATGAAAAGAAATGGGAACATAATAAGCCGGCGGGATAATTCCCGCCCACACCCGCTGTGTTTGAAAGCAACCGGATGAGTCGGTTCCCCTTTCAACCCGAACCGGTTTCTTTTTTCTTTTCTTTTTTTGTTTGTTTGTTTAATTCTACTGTAGTTGTAGTTATTCAAACTCCCCGTGCTCTCGTCTTCCTTCGTCTCCAACTCCATCCCAGGGTTTCACAGCGCCGTTCACCACCACTTTCTTCCTCTCAGCCGCCCTCGCCCCTCACAGGTGATTTCTCCTTCCCCTTCTCCACTTTCTCGAACTCTTCAGATTACTTCCCCGAACCTTTACCTCGCCCTATTCTATTACTGCAATCTTATTCCGCACAGAAACACTGAGCGCTTCGTCTCCAGTGGGAAGCTAGCTCCGTGCCTGCGTGCTAGCTTTTGCTTTCTCTTTTTTTGTTTTCTCTCGCCGTGATGTGTTCTGCATCGAAATATGGAACTGATTGGCGGTTGTTCGTTTTCTTAGGGTTTTTGCTTTTACATTTGCTAACTGTTGCTATTAAGTTAGTCTGCTATTGAGTCCTTAGCTTGAGTTCAAAACAGGATTATGCTCATTTCTCCACTGTTTCATTTGTCTACTTGGATTAGTTTTGAATTGTGCCGCTGTTGACCCGTTTCTCTTTGTATTTGGGCGAACTGGATCTGCTTTGCTTCCTGGAGAATAACAATGTTGTTGACTTGGGTTGTGGATTATTGGTTTCTGGGGCGATTTGAAGTATGTGTTATTGCGAACTTACACGCTCTTCCTTGATGGGTTTTCATTATCGCACCTGAGTGATATCATCCCCTTTTTCGGTGGGTTTTTTGTAGTGGGGTTTTAGTTCTTCTGATGGTTTAACTGCCTGCATATTTGATGAACTTACATAAATCTGCGAGTTCAGATATATGTTGAGCAAGCTCCTAATAACATGTCTCTTGTTTTGTAGATCTACCTATAAGTCATGGCAATGGAAGTCACTCATGTTCTTTTGAGCGCGCAATCTATAGATGGGAATGTAAGGAAGCAAGCAGAAGATAGTTTGAAACAGTTTCAAGAGCAAAACCTTCCTATTTTCCTGCTATCACTCTCTGGGGAGCTAGCCAATGACGAGAAACCTGCCGACAGCCGTAAGTTAGCAGGGCTTATTCTAAAGAATGCATTGGATGCCAAAGAACAACATAGGAAGGCTGAGCTTGTCCAAAGATGGCTAATGTTGGATGCTACAGTGAAGGCTCAGATTAAGTCTTGCCTATTGAAGACGCTTTCTGCTCTGGAAGTCAATGCTCGATCTACTGCATCACAAGTGATTGCCAAGATTGCAGGCATTGAGCATCCCCAGAAACAGTGGCCTGAGTTGATTGGCATACTTTTGTCAACTATACATCAGTTGCCAGCTCATGCTAAGCAAGCTACTTTGGAGACTCTTGGTTATTTTGGTGAGGAAGTATCTCCTGATGTCGTGGACCAGGAGGATGTGAACAAGATTCTCACTGCTGTGGTGCAGGGGATGAGTGGATCTGAAGTAAATAATGATGTCAGGCTTGCTGCTATTCGTGCCCTTCACAATGCACTTGCCTTTGCTCAAGCTAATTTTAGCAACGACGTAGAGCGTGATTATATCATGAGAGTTGTATGCGAGACGACTCAGTCCACAGATGTGAAGATCCGGCAGGCTGCTTTCGAGTGTTTGGTCTCCATTTCAACAATGTATTATGAGAAGCTGGCCCCTTACATTGAGGAAATATTTAAGATCACATCAAAAGCAATGAAGGAAGATGAGGAGTCGGTGGCTCTTCAGGCAGTTGAGTTTTGGAGCTCAATATGTGATGAGGAAATTGATATCCTGGAAGAATATGGAGGTGACTTCAGTGAAGCAGGCTCTAACATACCTTGCTTTTACTTCATCAAGCAGGCTCTTCCTGCTCTCGTTCCTCTCTTATTGGAGGCGATCCTGAAACAAGAGGAAGATCAAGATCAAGATGAAGGTGCATGGAACATTGCAATGGCTGGAGGCACCTGTCTTTATCTGGTTGCACGCACTGTAGGTGACGATGTTGTTCCTCTTGTAATGCCATTCATTGAACAAAATATCACAAAGGAAGATTGGAGACAAAGGGAGGCTGCAACTTATGCTTTTGGATCAATCTTGGAGGGGCCATCCATCGAGAAATTAACGCCCATCATTACTGTGGCTTTGAATTTCATGCTGACTGCCCTAATGAAGGATCCAAATAACCATGTGAAAGATACCACTGCTTGGACTCTTGGTCGTATTTTTGAGTTTCTCCATGGGTCGGAAATTGACACCCCTATAATTACGCAAGAGAATTGCCAGCAGATCATCATGGTTCTGCTTCACAGTATGAAGGATGCACCAAATGTAGCCGAAAAGGCATGTGGTGCCCTTTATTTCCTTGCCCAGGGCTATGAAGATGCAGGGGCGTCCTGTCCTCTTACTCCCTGTTTCCAGGAAATTGTGCAGTCCCTTCTCGCTGCTTCTCATAGAGAAGATGCTGCAGAGTCGAGGTTAAGGACTGCTGCATATGAAGCCCTGAATGAAGTTGTGAGGTGCTCGACCGATCAAACTGCGCATCTGGTTTTGCAGTTAGTTCATGTCATCAAGGATGAGCTTTTGAAGAGCCTCGAAGGACAGGGAATTGTGTCTGAGAGAGAGAAACAGGGTGAACTGCAGGGTCTTCTTTGTGGATGTTTACAGGTGATCATTCAAAAGCTGGGAGCTTCTGAACAAACCAAAAATGCTTTGATGCAGCAGCATGCTGATGACATCATGAGACTCTTCCTCAGTGTTTTGGGTTATAGAAGTGCAACCGTTAGTGAAGAGGCCATGCTAGCTATTGGATCACTTGCCTATGCAACAGGTCCAGATTTTGAAAAATATATGCCGGAGCTTTTCAAATATTTGGAGATGGGCCTTCAAAATTTTGAGGAGTATCAGGTTTGCTCTGTCACGGTCGGTGTTGTGGGTGACATCTGCAGGGCCTTGGAAGCTAAAATCTTGCCTTACTGTGATGGGATCATGACTCAACTCCTCAAAGATCTATCGAGCAATCAGCTGCATCGATCCGTGAAGCCTCCAATATTCTCTTGCCTTGGTGATATTGCGTTGGCCATAGGTCCAGATTTTGAGAAGTATCTAATGTATGCCACCCCAATGCTCCAAAGTGCTGCGGATTTGTCCTCACACACAGAAGGTGCCGATGATGAAATGATTGAGTACACGAATGCACTGAGGAGTGGGATTTTGGAGGCGTATTCTGGAATCCTTCAAGGTTTCAAGAGCTCGACCAAGACACAGCTCTTAATTCCTTATGCACCACATGTGCTTCAGTATTTGGACAGCATATACAAGGGAAAGGACATGTAAGCAACAACAGCTATCATCAACATTCTCTGATCACTTCTTTATTTACTTGTATGTACATATCCTGGACTATATTTAATTTGGAGACACTTGATTTCTTCTGTTGCAGGGATGACTTGGTGATGAAAGCTGCAATCGGGGTACTTGGAGATCTGGCAGATACACTGGGGAGTAATGCTGGTTCTTTGATCCAGCAGTCTCTTTTCAGCAGGGACTTCTTGAATGAATGTCTGTCCTCCGATGATGAAACTATCAAGGAATCCGCCGAATGGGCCAAGTTGGCCATCACGAAAGCCATCTCGGTATGACGAAAGAGGTTTCTGCTCGCTCAGCAATTGATGTTCTCTTTCCTTAAGAGAAGTCATACTCATACCAGCATTTGGTGTATGTACTTCTGATTAATTTTTGCTGGTTTGGTTTCTGCATCTATCTGCTCATTGAACAACAATTTTCAGATGGCAAAAATCATTGGTTTTTGAACAGATGAATGTAGTAGCCAGTGGCTGTCGTTAAATGTTTAGGACAATACTTGTAAGACTCCCTCTTGGTGCCTTCTGGTTTTACAAGATCCAAATTTTCGCTTCTGTTGCTAGATTTAATCATTTGGTTACGCCATTGTTCTGTAATTGGGTTTCTTTTTGGTTTTGCATTTCCAAGTCGCAATGTTTCATGGATAAGAGCAATTACAGAGAACAGAAGATTGGAAATCACCGGATTAGTGAAGCTGCTGCTTAGAATGTGGCTTACTACAACAAACAAACATACACAAGTGGGGAAGAAACAATGAGATGATCAGGTGAACTCTTCCTTCAAGTAATCGGGTCCAGGCCTGAAGGGATCAGAAACCTCGTATGCCTCCGGCCGGTAAAACCCGGCATCGTTCATCCGGTTGCTGAGCACATGAAGGATGGCCTTCTTGTTCCCACCATACTCGTCTCTGTTCCGCTCGATGTACTCCGTGGCCTCCGCCGCCACGTCGTTCACGAACTCGTACTTGTTGTCTTCATTCTTCATCAGCCACTCTATGTCGAACGACAGCATCTTCCCGTTCTCTCTTATCTTCCTCACTTGCTCCTCTAGGAATGGAACTCTCCCCAGTTTCACTCGCATCATATCGTCCTCCTTCGTCTGCAAAACCATATCGGATTGTGATTAAGCCATTGTTTTTATCTCAGCCATGTGGAGAAAGCAACATTATCAACCAAATCTTCCAGCTACTCTCCCTTGGATCTTATCTAAGTTCCTAACCGATGTAGCTTGTCTCGTCGAATAAAGAAATATACCCCCATTGATAACGATAAACTGCAGTTGAATTCGGAAAAGGAGAAAGTTAGGTAGAGAGGTTTAATTAGTACCAATTTCCTCCGGCGCCACACTTGCCGGCGGTTTCGCGACTGCGCTGCGACCTGGAGAGCGAAGACGAAGAAACACTTTCAGAAATCAGATTGCAAAATACGCAGTGGAAAACTGGAGACGAGAACGAATATGAGAAGCAATTACCAGGTGGGGTTTCTTGGAGCTGGAGGAGAGAGTTGCTGTGACCGGGGAAATGGAGGAGGAGAAACCGAACTGCAGTGCAGAAAGAGACATGGCCGCCTGCCGCCGCGCCGGTGGAATCTTCGCTTTATTCTTCGGGTTCGCCCTCCGTCGAGTAGAAGAAGAGAAATGGTACAGCGTTTAAAATTAGAAGAAGGCAACCACGGGTAGAAGAAGAGATTGGAAGTGGGCCGAATCTAAACAAGGCTGAACGGATCCAGCGCTAGAAAAGTCCTGGCCCTGGCCCAGACCTAGGCCCAGACCCATATAAGCCCGGCAGTCCATAAGACCATAACAATGAGGAGATGGAAGAAGAAGAAAAACAAAAGGCGTGGAAACAAAATAACCGATGGTCGGGTCGGACAAGTAGGGATGGCAATGGGTCGGGTTGGGTCGGGTTTTGCCAAACCCAAACCCATGGGTTTATCCGTGAAAAAAACCCGGGGTAAAACCCACTGGGTTTGAAAAACTCAAATCCAACCCAACTCGTTGGGTATCTGTGGGTTCATGGGTACACACGGGTTTTGGTCGTAAAAAATTTACAATAACAAGTTCCTATCAAAATTAAAGTCAAATATCAATCTCTCAATACAAATTATCCACATATAAAACATCATTCTAGAAAATTCAAGAAATCACAAATTAACTATACAAATTGTTCAACACCAATCTAGAAAACTCAAGAAAATTGAAGCAAATCACAAATTATCCATAAATAACATGATTAATTGAAAGCTTCTTCCTTTCAATTAAGTTTCTTCACTTTCCACTCGATAACATCAACTTCATTCTACACAATTTGAAAGAAAAAATTAGACATGTCTCCACAAACATAAATAAGATTATTGTTTAGAATATTAAATATACCGAGAAAATTAACTATATGGGTGTGAGCGGGTACCCATGGGTCGGGTTTATCTAAACCCAAACCCAACCCAACCCGGTAAATAGTGAACGGGTTTAAACCCAAACCGGGCCCAAAACCCGTCAACACGGATTTTACCCGCGTTGACCGGGTTGGGTTGAGTGGGTATCCGTGGGTTCGGGTTTTGTTGCCATCCTACTGACAAGGCCATCATTGACTGTTTGGTTAGTAACGGGAAAAGGAAAGGGGGAACATCCGGCGTGAGCCACAAGTAAATGACATCATGTACTTTTGTGGATGATGCATCCCATCTCTGTCAGTGGAAATCTGTTGAGTGCTGATAAGCTCCCGTATCTCGAAAATCTGTTGTTTCTCTGCGAGTAATAATACTTCTACAGACTGGCTGTGCATCGGCTGCCGGAGCAGCAGCTGCAAGCCAAGCAATGGGGAAATTTGCATGGAGGACCGAGGCGGAAAGTACGGCTGCGTCCGGACCGGCGGTTCAAAGCTGTTTCCGTACCATGACCGGCGCCTAGAGCCACGTACCACTACTGACGAGTATAAATTGTAAAATGATAAAAGAAATTGGAAAGGGTTCTTTGTTTGTTTGACCGTTTTAGTTGACTCCAACTCCTTAATCCAAAATAAAAATCGGCATTTAGCATCTAGCAAGTCTACACCACAGAATCTGGAGGGTCATCAAGTCATTGGCGTCATATGAAATGGAAACTTTACAAGGAATAATATGAGCTGCTGAACTACGAGATATATATAAATTATAACCTCACTTTTCTTCCTTCGTGAACCACCTTCTATCGCTCTTGAGAGTTGGATATATGCAATTAGCAAAATATTACTAGTTTTGTTGATGGGAAGTTGAGGTAGGGGGGATGGTTTTCGCTTCCGGTTTCGAATAAAAAAAGGAAAAGGAAGTTAGGTCTCTGGAAACATAAAAGGGGGAAAATGGAGAGGGACGGTCGTTTATTGTTGAGAGCATTAAAGCCGTTGCATGTCAACTTGTGTCTGAAAACCAGCGACGCCGACCATGAAAAAAAATTGGTCGACCATCTTGGTTCGATCAACCAACAAGTAACCATACGTCATAGATGCCCTAGTGTGCAAAATGAAATGTGATGACACTAAATGTCCAGCGCCGACACGAGATAAAGGGTGGCATGACATCACCAAAAATTCCCATCATCCGCTCGAGATTTGGCAATACTTTCGTCCACTAACTAGAAATTGAAATGATTTATTTTAAGGGGATCGATAAATCCGCCATTCAATATCTAATAACTAGTTATCTACATTGACCTCTTGTTTTACACACATTTGTTTGTAATATAGTTTATACTTTATACACATTTGCCTCCGTACAGATCCCAACGGGAGCAGGATTGGGGAGTTGTGTTTCCAAGCAAGAAAGGGGCAGGGCATCAATCAATCATGGCTCCAATTCATGAGCCGTCAAGGGAGAAACAACAACTGTCCACCACTTTTCCTAGGATGCCAGACACGTGGCAGCCCGTGGCGTGGCTGAAGACCTAGAAAATAGGGGGCGACTTGGCGGGAAAAAAAGCAGTGGGACCAGGCATCCACGTAGGCGTCGTTGGCGGGAAACAGAAGCGACTAATCTCCATTTCCCGTAACCCACTTGCCTTCTTTTCCTGCTTCCCCCGCCACCATCGCATCACATATACATACATCTCAATGCCATACCATAACATCCCATGTTTTTCTTTTTGTTTTCTATTAATCATGGTAGGAACCACTGCCACCATGCCATGCGTTAAAGTTTAAACGGACACTTTTTTAATGAGCTCACGTGATTTTGTCGTGCAATCTAATTCCATTTTCGTGTTCTTTTTTTCTCCCCCGCAGAAATTAATCAATAAACATAATTAAAAAGGTCACGTGACTTCGTACTGAGTTTGATAAATAAATAAATAAAGGGTAAATAATTAAGATTATAGTGTGGAAAAATAGGGGGAAGAATCTAGCGGTAGGAATGGGTTAGCTCTAGGGATAGCAACAAAACCAGAACCCACGGGTACCCACCCGACCCAATCCGGTCAACGCGGGTAAAATTGGTATTGACGGCTTTTGGGCCGGGTTCGAGTTTAAACCCGCTACACTATTCTCCGGTTCGGGTTGGGTTTGGGTTTAGGTAAACCCGCCTCATGGGTATCCGCCCACACACATATAATTACTTTTCCGGTATATTTAATACTCTAAATAATATATCTTCCTTAAACAATTAATATTCTTTATTAATTGTTTTGGGTTTGAGTTTTTCAAACCCAGCGGGTTTTACCCCGGGTTTTTTTGGCGGATAAACTCATGGTTTTGGGTTTGAGTTTGACAAAACCCGCCCCAACCCGACCCATTGTCATCCCTAATTAGCTAGGTAGGGAAGCCGTGGTCAGAATCGTCATGGCACGGGATGAGTTTAGCTGCTAACTGCATCATTTGTTAGCACCATGCTAACCATGTTTATAAGTTATAACTATTAGATGTAAAATTAATAGTTATAACTGCATCATTTGTTAGCACCATGCTAACCATGTTTATAAGTTATAACTATTATATGTAAAATTAATCTCATGGTTTAAATTTATTAAAGGCTAATTTGGTAAAAACTTATATAAACCCCTAATATATATCCATCCAACATTACCATAATCCTTCAGCCGCCACTCCTTCCACAACCTCTCTCTCAAAAACTTCCCTTGCTCGTGCGTCGGTCTGCGTCTCTCTATTTTCGCTTCTCCACAAACTCGTTGTCGTTTCTTTCTCCATCATATGCACTGTCGTCGAGACTCGAGATATAGAGAGAGTTTCATTCTGGATCTGGCTTCCACATCGAACAAATATGAACGACGAGGTCAGGAGCATGCTTCTTGTGACGGGAGAGACGAGATTCATTGAGACGCGTGTCTCTGCCGCATTGTGACTGCAATGGAGTAATGGGACGGCTTGGTGAGGCCAGTTGAGGTTCGTCGTGGAAAGACGAAAGGGCGCAGTGGAAGTTGGGAAAGAGGAAGTTGTTCGGCACGGCGGGGTATGACGTGGTGGAGCGGGCAAAGTTGCTGAGATAGCGGCAATGACCTTTGCTTTTTAGGTTTTTTTATCTGTATTATAGTATGTGTTAGTAGTGATTTGTATGTAGTAGTTATGTAATAGTAGTAGTGATTCTTATAATAATATGTAGTGATTTTTATACGTTATTAGCAGTGTTTTGCATAGTTATAATAGTATTTTTCATTTGTAGTGGGTTTTTTAATAATATTTGTAGTGATTCTTGCTAATTACAATTTGATAAAACGCTTTTAGTTTCATGAAAATAACCACTAAACTTATAAAAACACTACTACCAGGCACCAAAACTACTACTAATAATTGTAAATTTTTTTTGTTGTGTCAGTTTGACAATTTTTCCAACGTAGAAACGCTAATTATTAGAAAGAGGAGAGAGATTTTAGATTTTAATTAATTTATTAAAATTTTGTCAAATACCAAATAAGTCCTTCATTACTATCCACCGTTAGATTGTACTTAAAAATATGGACGGTGATTAAAATAGTTAGTATGGTGCTAACTCCTATGAAGTTAGCACTGTAACCGTTCCCGTCATGGCACACACTTGACAGTGTACACTGCTCACTGAGGGGCGAACTAAAACCGTAGCTCGGTTCAGTCGGGTCGTGAAACGAAGACGAGCTTTTTGGTTTGTGCCCCGGTCGAACCATGCTCCGATTTTTGGCTCAGTCCTGGTGAGTAACGAACCCCACCTTAATCTCGTATCAGGGACAAGGCAAAAAAATGAAATATGAGATTGCTTCAACAAGTTACGAACGGAAGCTTGTCTTCATTTTACATACTAGCTTATAACCCGGCCCATGGGCCGAAATATTTATATTTGATTATTTATATTTTTATGTTACGTTTAAGCTAATCTACCGGCTTAATTTTATTGACAATCCTTCGATCGAGAAGATACATAAAGAAAGAACATATAGGTCTAACATTCGGAGAAATACAATCGTCATTTAAGAATATAAAATGTATCATTAGTTCCATTTTCATAATGATAATTAAGCCCTCATTATAATGCTATTGGTTAGTTGATTGTCAAGAAAGAGGGTATAAAAGCTCAGTGAAATTCCAAACGACTCATAGATAGTTTGAAACTAAATCTTAAACCTCACAATCCTACATACGAGTTTAATGCGCTCCTTTTATGAACAATCTGTCACTAATAAAAAAGAAATGGAGAGTTGTTAATTCAAGTCAACTATATACTAACAACTCAGCTAAGTAATAAGGTACATCAAAACTTGAGAGCAAACGATAAAATTAAGGTTATCTCCGACATACTAATAGACTCAATCAAAGTAATAAGACACAAAATTAGACACTCCTTGTTTATTAGTTCAAGTAGGTTGAATAAAAAATTGACTTACTTCAACAAATCAATCAATGATTCCTTGTTTTAAGATAGAAATAGGTTATGATAGATGTAAAAACCATAAATATAAAGATCCATGCCACCATTTTCGTTGTACAACCAAATTGTTATCTCAAGAGACGTATGTGTCAACCAAAAATTGAATTTCTAATCCTCCTTCTGCAACTCCATTATTTATTAAACTCTTTTACTTGCCCAACTTAAATCCCCAACAATAAAACCGACGTGCCAAGAGATACCGGATGATTGATTTTCAAAGGGGGCCTTGTACTGGGAAGTGAAAGGGGGCGCAAACTATTGTACGATGGAGGGAATTTTCGAGGAAGTTAGAAAGAGATAAGAACAAAGATAAAAACCACAAAATTTAAATTGAAAAATGCAAGGACACAACACGTAGTGACAAAATTAGTTTTTTCCATGTTAGCCAATTACTAATTTACCTTTAGCAAAAATTAAGGAGAGAGAAAGAATTTTAAAATTGAGAAATTACATGAAACTCTACAATGAAAATTGAAGTATCATGCACCATAAAAATACATACGGTATACTTAGTGGACTTGCTAATCATTATGAAAAGTCCTGTGATTTTCTGAAAGTTAAACTTCGTGTATATTTTGAATTCAAAAAGACACAACAAATTTATTTAGTGTAAATGGTTGTGATTGTTGTCTTTATTTGAATAGACCCGGGTTCAAATCCTTATGGATCTTGGTTCAAATCTTGATGTTGATATTTTTTATGTGAGATAAATTAATAATTGTAAAGACAAAAATGTCCTTCCTACTTTCATTCCCGTTGCAGAAAATTTAAAATGGAGAAAATTACACAAAAGTGTTCTATTATTCCTCCCTCCCTAAGTCACTTAAAGATGTAATTCCTATTTTTTACTATTTTTTTCATGTATGATATGGTAAGTGGTAACTGATCAATGTAGATAGTCAATATGTCATGAAAAACTACAATTTTTTCCATAGATTTACTCGGCAACAAATCATTTTTTCACTAAATTTGACTAGTCTATTTGATCCTCAAACTTATTAACAAAAAGTTATAGAACACCACTGTTAGAAGGCCATGAAAGAAGAGTTGAGTGCATTATCCCAACATCATATATGGGAATTAGTCTCCTTACCTCTAGTAAAGAGATCCATCTGTTATAAGTAGGTTTACTATACTTTTTCAACTTGATGAAACTATCGAGAGGTACAAAATTATGATTGGGTTAAACTTTATGTTAAACCAAGGTGCTCAATTAGTACGATACTGTCCGCTTTGGGATAAGCCCGCACGGTTTTGTTCTTGGGTGTCCTCCCCGAAAGGCCTCGTACTGATGAGTTTGATGGACACTAATATACAAGGGTTCCTTCCCTTGTATTTTCGATGTGGTGGGTTGTCCCATAACAATCCTCCCCTCAAGACAAGGACCACGAACTTCGTGTCCTCTCCTCAGCGATTATCTTGATCCGCCAGACACCTTGTATCGATGGGCTTCACAGTACAAGGACTTTATCATACGCAGAACTCTCTTTAATATGCTTCCCAAATGCGGAATTCTCTTTGATCCGCCAAACCCAAACGTGGATCCTCCTGGATCCACCAAACCAGACGCATATCTCAAATCCCGAGGCCATCGAACGAGGGTCCACCGAATTGGTCCACCGCTCTGGATCCTCCGAACCAGGCTCTGATACCACTTGTTAAACTAGGGTGTTCAATTAGTACGATATTGCCCGCTTTGGGCCAAGCCCGCACGATTTTACTCTTGGGTGTCCTTCCCAAAAGGCCTCATACTAATTGGGCTAGGTGGACTCTTATATACAAGGGTTCCTTTCCTTGTATTTTCGATCTGGTGCTTGAATTGTCCCATAACACTTTATATGAATATATGATTAAAAAAATAAAGACCATGTAAGTTTTAAATACTTTTTGGGACAATAGGTTGGGATGAATGCAAATGGAATTATGGCCAACCATATGAAATATTGCATAGAGCTATTGATAAATACAAGTTATGTTGATTAAAAATAAGCTTAGACACCATTTATATGAAGGTCATATTGAGCTCAAGTGATGTTGAACCATTAGTAGATCCTCATTGCTGCAAGACATTAATTGGAAGGTTCTTACAATTAAAAAAAAAATGTTATCTTACGCATGGAAGATATAGTTAGTAATAGTTGTCTTGGCTAGTACAACCCATTATTGGATGTCTATCTTTCAGTTACTTGTAAGTGGGCTGTAACAATCTTGAAGGTTGTGCTCTGAGTTTCTATGGAGTTCAGGTAATGAGAAGAAAAAGACAAAAGTTACTTGGGATGCTATCTCCTTGTCAAAGGATGAGGGTGGTCTAGGATTAAAAGACTTAAAGAGTTGGAATCAAGCATGTGTAACTCGGGACATCTGGACTATTCTAGCCGGCCATTCTTCTCTTTGGACTGCTGGGTGAAGGAATATAGGTTGTGAAATGTTACTTTCTGGCAGGTCAATAGTCATGGATCCGGACATGGAATAGAGTCCTCCAAACTAGAACTCTTGTACCTGGTTATATGCATCAGACTGAGGAGGGTGTGTTCCGGAATGGTGAACTTGTGTCAAAATTCTATGTGAAAAAAGTTTGGGAGATGCTTAGACCTCGAAGATAGAAGGTTCCTTGGTCTCATCTAGTTTGGGATCCATTTTTCATCCATAAGAACTCTTTCGTTTCGTGGTTGGTGCAAATTGACAAAATACAAAGTTTAGACAAAGTTGTTAAGTGAGGGCCTGAAGTAGAGACTACTTGTCCTTTATGCTTTGGCGTTCCCAGAATCTCGAGATCATTCTTATTTCTCTTGTGATTTCACTCAGCAAGTTTTGCGTGTTGCGTTCCCGAGTTCCTAGGGTTATAGGCATGCTGGAGGATGGTATGATGGTGTGATGGAGGCCACAATCTGCTTCCGTTCATGTAAGGTGGGTAGATTGATTTGGAATCTTATGATAAGCGAAATTTTGAGGGAAAGATGTAGGAGGCTGTTTGATCATAAAGCCCTTCTGTTTCCTGATCTTGTGGGGCAAATGCAACAAACGATGAGGTGGAAGGTCCTGGGAAGCCCTGAATTGGGAGCTGAGGTTCTCAAGAATAAGTTATAGTTCAAAGTCTAGTGAATATAATATGGTGTAGGGGTGTTAGTTGGGGTACAATTTTTAAATTAGTTTGCTCTTGTGTAGTTACAATAGTATGCTCCTGTAATTTTTCTTTTTACCTGAGTTATGGGGTGTTCTGTTGGGTTGTAGCGGGTTTGGTGTTCTGGAGAAGTTTTGTATTGCTCCATGTGAGCTCTTTTGATGGAATGCAATTTGCTTTTCATAAAAAAATACCTAAAATTCGCTTCACTATTAAGCAATTAAGTTTATTTAAGGGAAAACCATTGATCACTAATGTGCATGCAACTTTTGAGTCTTTGAGGTACTCCAAGAAGGCTCGTGGACTGGACATGGATTACTTTTCAATGCAAAATCTGAACTCAGACTCATGGGATACAGCAGTTCAGATTGTGCATCTTGTCCACACTCCAAACAGAGGTTATTGTACTTACTTTGGTAGCTCTCTTCTCACTTGGAACTCCGAGAGGTATGAAGCATACCACCTTTTGGGGGCTTATTGGAAGCAAGCCTAAACCCATGAGAGTAATCAACAAGAAGAGCAATGGAACGGAGAAGTAATCCTTGTTGTTAGTTGGTA